AAGGAGTGGCAAGGAGTGGAATGTTAGCTAAAGAGACTGGCACTCAAACTATGTACTCCCTGCATAGTTGTTGAAAACAAACAGGGTGACCACTTTTCATTGGTGAATAAGGGTGACATCACAGTTCAGAATAGATGCACATCCACTGACTCACTCGGTGTTGCCTGTAGAGTTTACTCTACTCCAATATCTAGACAAGCAGTACTTCCTATAAATATGTTTGGGGCTGTTTTTACATTACCAGTCTTAGCCTGCTCCGGAGTACTGGTGGTTGTCTTGACAGGATTCAGAGTTGTTCCATCTGAAAAACATTAATTAAAGTGTCTTGACTTTGATATATACATTTTTTTTTATAACTCAGTCTCAAGCATGAGGGACCAGCACTGACCCAACATTTGGGAACCATCTTTACAGGAGCAGTATTCATTTTATTTATCCAGATGGCACATGGAAGATGTACTATATCTGAGTTTTTTTTAATATGAGACCTTGAAAGTGACGTCACCACTATCTTCTGCTAAATCTTTCTCCAATCTCTAGAGCACTAGACAAGCAATACTTCCTATAAATATGTTTGGGGCTGTTTTTACATTACCAGTCTTAGCCTGCTCCTGAGTACTGGTGGTTGTCTTGACAGGATTCAGAGTTGTTCCATCTGAAAAACATTAATTAAAGTGTCTTGACTTTGATATATACATTTTTTTTTATAACCCAGTATCAAGCATGAGGGACCAGCACTGACCCAACATTTGGGAACCATCTTTACAGGAGCAGTATTCGTTTTATTTATCCAGATGGCACATGGAAGATGTACTATATCTGAGTTTTTTTAACCTGCCAAAACATGCAATAAGGCACTAAAGTAAAACTGCAAAAAATGTGGCAAAGAAATTCACTTTATGTCCTTAATACAACGTGTTATGTTTGGGGCAAATTCAACACAATACTTCACTGAGTACCACTCTTCATATTTTCAAGAATAGTGGTGGCTGCATCATGTTATTGGTATGCTTGTCATCAGCAAAGACTAGGGAGTGTTGGGGGGAAAAAAGAAGCGGAATAGAGCTAAGCACAAGCAAAATCCTAGAGGAAAACCTGGTTCAGTCTGCTTTCCACCAGACACTGGGAAATACATTCACCCTTCAACAGGACAATAGCCTAGAACACAAGGCCAAATGTATACTGGAGTTGCTTACCAAGACAACATTGAATATTCCTTAGTGGCCTAGTTACAGTTTTGACTTAAATCGGCTTGAAAATCTATGGCAAGACTTGAAAATGGCAGTCTAGCAATGATCAACAACTTGGCAGAGGTTGAAGAATTTAAAAAAGAATAATATGCAAATATTGTACAATCCAGGTGTGCAAAGCTCTTAGAGACTTACCCAGAAATACTCACAGCTGTAATCGCTGCCCAATGTGATTCTAACATGTATTGAATCAGGAGTGTGAATACTTATTTAAATTAGATATTTCTGTTTTCACTTTGTCATTATGGGCTATTGTGTGTAGATGGGTGAGACATTTAATCCATTTTGAATTGTAACACAACAAAATGTGGAATAAGTCAAGGAGTATGAATATTTTCTAAAGCCAATTTTTCAGGGTAAATACAGGCAAATATATTATCAAAACGTCATGCCAGGGTAAGCCTACACGAAACACAGCCCTTATTTGAAGTGTCTCTAAAATCCCCTATGGGAAAATGTAATGATGGAAAAACGATTGGAACCATTTCCGTGTTTGACCACTAGGTTTTATGTGTATTATGGCTCATACTGTGGTACTCTATTGAATGTTGAGATTCCCGCAATGGCAATTGCAAGGAGTGGCAAGGAGTGGAATGTTAGCTAAAGAGACTGGCACTCAAACTATGTACTCCCTGCATAGTTGTTGAAAACAAACAGGGTGACCACTTTTCATTGGTGAATAAGGGTGACATCACAGTACAGAATAGATGCACATCCACTGACTCACTCGGTGTTGCCTGAAGAGTTTTCTCTACTCCAATATCTAGACAAGCAGTACTTCCTATAAATATGTTTGGGGCTGTTTTTACATTACCAGTCTTAGACTGCTCTGGAGTACTGGTGGTTGTCTTGACAGGATTCAGAGTTGTTCCATCTGAAAAACATTAATTAAAGTGTCTTGACTTTGATATATAAATTTTTTTTTATAACTCAGTCTCAAGCAGGAGGGACCAGCACTGACCCAGCATTTGGGAAACAGCTTTACAGGAGCAGTATTCATTTTATTTATCCAGATGGCACATGGAAGATGTACTATATCTGAGTTTTTTTTATATATGAGACCTTGAAAGTGACGTCACCACTATCTTCTGCTAAATCTTTCTCCAATCTCTAGAGCACTAGACAAGCAATACTTCCTATAAATATGTTTGGGGCTGTTTTTACATTACCAGTCTTAGACTGCTCCTGAGTACTGGTGGTTGTCTTGACAGGATTCAGAGTTGCTCCATCTGAAAAACATGAATTAAAGTGTCTTGACTTTGATATATAATTTTTTTTATAACCCAGTCTCAAGCATGAGGGACCAGCACTGACCCAACATTTGGGAAACTGCTTTACAGGAGCAGTATTCATTTTATTTATCCAGATGGCACATGGAAGATGTACTATATCAGAGTTTTTTTAACCTGCCAAAACATGCAATAATGCACTAAAGTAAAACTGTAAAAAAATGTGGCAAAGAAATTCACTTTATGTCCTTAATACAACGTGTTATGTTTGGGGCAAATTCAACACAACACTTCACTGAGTACCACTCTTCATATTTTCAAGAATAGTGGTGGCTGCATCATGTTATTGGTATGCTTGTCATCAGCAAAGACTAGGGAGTGTTGGGGGGAAAAAAGAAGCGGAATAGAGCTAAGCACAAGCAAAATCCTAGAGGAAAACCTGGTTCAGTCTGCTTTCCACCAGACACTGGGAAATACATTCACCCTTCAACAGGACAATAGCCTATAACACAAGGCCAAATATATACTGGAGTTGCTTACCAAGACAACATTGAATATTCCTTAGTGGCCTAGTTACAGTTTTGACTTAAATCGGCTTGAAAATCTATGGCAAGACTTGAAAATGGCAGTCTAGCAATGATCAACAACTTGGCAGAGGTTGAAGAATTTAAAAAAGAATAATATGCAAATATTGTACAATCCAGGTGTGCAAAGCTCTTAGAGACTTACCCAGAAATACTCACAGCTGTAATCGCTGCCCAATGTGATTCTAACATGTATTGAATCAGGAGTGTGAATACTTATTTAAATGAGATATTTCTGTTTTCACTTTGTCATTATGGGCTATTGTGTGTAGATGGGTGAGACATTTAATCCATTTTGAATTGTAACACAACAAAATGTGGAATAAGTCAAGGAGTATGAATATTTTCTAAAGCCAATTTTTCAGGGTAAATACAGGCAAATATATTATCAAAACGTCATGCCAGGGTAAGCCTACACGAAACACAGCCCATATTTGAAGTGTCTCTAAAATCCCCTATGGGAAAATGTAATGATGGAAAAACGATTGGAACCATTTCCGTGTTTGACCACTAGGTTTTATGTGTATTATGGCTCATACTGTGGTACTCTATTGAATGTTGAGATTCCCGCAATGGCAATTGCAAGGAGTGGCAAGGAGTGGAATGTTAGCTAAAGAGACTGGCACTTAAACTATGTACTCCCTGCATAGTTGTTGAAAACAAACAGGGTGACCACTTTTCATTGGTGAATAAGGGTGACATCACAGTACAGAATAGATCCACATCCACTGACTCACTCGGTGTTGCCTGTAGAGTTTTCTCTACTCCAATATCTAGACAAGCAGTACTTCCTATAAATATGTTTGGGGCTGTTTTTACATTACCAGTCTTAGGCTGCTCCTGAGTACTGGTGGTTGTCTTGACAGGAATCGGAGTTGTTCCATCTGAAAAACATTAATTAAAGTGTCTTGACTTTGATAGATACATTTTTTATAACCCAGTCTCAAGCATGAGGGACCAGCACTGACCCAACATTTGGGAAACAGCTTTACAGGAGCAGTATTCATTTTATTTATCCAGATGGCACATGGAAGATGTACTATATCTGAGTTTTTTTTAAACCTGAGTCCTTGAAGGTGAAATCACCACCATCTTCAGTGCCCTTGTCTTTAATATGTAGTTCAGTAGGAGAAGAACATCCTCTTTTAGTTTAACTCTTCATCAACAGACACATGCAGTATGCTTGTTCACTAATCACCAAAATCAGGAGAAAGGATCAGGTTTGATATTCACTTTAATGTCATTAAAATTTAGCTTTGGCAAGGGGACGTCAGCGTTACCTAGACAAGCAGAAAGTGTGAAGTGCACCACAGCAAATTTAAATTAAAAAACATGAAAGTTAGGCTGCATATACAAATACTGTATATGCTCTGCGTATTGACCAAGGTAATACAGCTGACTTTGGCCCAATGCTGTACCTCCCAAACCATCTACTATACAACTGAGAATGGAAATAGTAGCAAATACAATACCAGCAGGGTGCCCACTTTTCATTGGTGAATAAGGGTGACATCACAGTACAGAATGGATCCACATCCACTGACTCACTCTATGTTGCCTGTAGAGTTTTCTCTACTGTAATCTGCTAAATCTCTCTCCAATCTCTAGAGCACTAGACAAGCAGTACTTCCTATAAATATGTTTGGGGCTGTTTTTACATTACAAGTCTAACTTAGACTGTTGCATAGTACTGGTGGTTGTCTTGACATGAATCAGAGTTGTTCTATCAGAACTGTCTGGAAAAACATGAATTCAAGTGTCTTGACTTTGGTAGAGCAAAAGTTTCAAGCCATTGGGACAAACCCTGACCCAGCATTTAAGACTGCTTTACAGGGACAGGACCCATTTCTACGGAACCAGATGGCACATTGACCATGTACTGCATATGCATATGTCATACAGATGATCTACAGATGAACACCACTAATGATCTGTCAGTTACACTTTCCATCAAAGGTGAGCAGAGAACACCTTAACGCCACTGTTCCATCAGGCTTTAGGTCTGTCACTGGTGTTGACGAGGATACTGAAAAAGAAGACTAGTATGTACAGTATGTAATGAGTATCTGGGTGTACTCACTGAGTTGGAACAGTAATACTCACCAGTTAGAACAGACAGATGAACAGTAGCATCACCTCCATGTTGTTGTCCACCCTCTGTAAGGAACTGTCGACAGGTGTAGACTCCAGCATCCTCAGCTCTGACATTACTAACATTTAGAGAACAGTTAGACCCTAAACTCAGTCTGTCAGCTCTGTTCAGTTTTTCCTTTTTCACCCTCCCAAGACTGACTTCTTCAATAGATCCATAGATCCATGTAGTTGAGGAGCAGTTTGGATAATACACATTGGTACACGGCAGACTGACATTACCTCCAACAATGGAGTACAGAGGAAGAGTGTTTCCACTGACACCTGACAAGAGAATGGCATCAGATGATTATTCACTGGTAATACAGATTACATTATATTTCATAGGTATTCTTATTGATATTCTTCACAGGTGTACTGAATAATAATAAAGTAATTATATATACAATAGTGAAGATAAAAGTAGACAGAAAAACAACAGAAATGTAAACATAACTTCAGCATATCTTTTTTTTCTCAGATGTATGGTTTTCCATGTTGAATGTGAGTGATGGTCTCTTAATAAATAGTATTGTTATTCTCTTTCTCCTCTGTCTTACCTGTTAGCAGGTACAAAACAGTCACAAGCAGTCCCAAAAATGAATGATAGACATCAGCCATTGTCCTCTCTCTCTCTCTCTCTCTCTTTCTCTCCTCTATCAGAGTGTCTCAGGACCATACGTTTCTCACCATACAGCAGTATCTCTATTCACCATTATAGCATCACTTCCTCAAAGAGGTCATGTTTTTTTCTGTAATGGAACAAGTATTAAAACGGAAAGCATTTCTGACACCTTGGTAAGAATGCTCCAGCTCACCAGCAGTTGAAGGCCTTATTCACATGTACTGTATGAGAGTGTGTAGTGATGTTGTAGTGAATTTGCCTTAATATGGTCATATTCACTTGATTGGTTAATCATAATTGGTACTCCTCATTCCTCTAATTCTGTGTACATGCTGCCTTTCTTTAAATAGTTTACAGGATGGAAATAAGTGACATAGTCAACATGTCAACATGACATATCAGTGGAATCATGTCTCTTGTCTCTCCAAGGACTTGGAAGGCATTCAGAGATGCTGCTGCTGCATCATTGGCACTTCCTACAACTCACTCCCAAGACCTTCAAAGCGGTCCTGTCCAATCACACAAGTCCTCTGAACAAGTTTCTAACCCCTACACAGAGACAGTATGATCTGAGGAGATCAATGCAACAAGCTGCACTACCAGACACCAAAAATCATTATTGACAAGAGCTCTCAATCTATGCAAAATGCATGCTCCATCAATAAAGACATTTGATATGACTATTTATTGATCTGATGGTGTGTCTATTTGTTGTGTGTGACTTTTGATGATCTACTGTCCATATATTAATGCAGATTATATATTTGTACCTGTTTGTGTATGACATCAAATTTGATGTAGGTTTCTGCCTATGTACCAATATGTTCAAATAACCTAAACCTATCAAGAGATGAACTGGGCATCCAATCACCTTCCTGTAATTGTCACGCTCTGGCTCCGGGACTGTGTAGTTTGAGCCAGGGTGTATTCATTTGGTTGTGTTGGGTATAGGGTGTGTTCATTTGGTTGTGTTTGGTTTTGGTTGTAGTGTCTTGTCTCGTCATGTGACTCCCAATCGGAGGTAACGAGTGTCAGCTGTCGGCTCGTTATCTCTGATTGGGAGCCATATTTAAACTGTCAGTGTTCACCTTAGTGTTGTGGGTTTTTGTTCCTTGTCAGTCTTTGTTACTGTGGACTTTACGATTCGTCTATTTGTTTTGGTACTTTAATTAATAAAGTCTATCATGTTCGCTCAACGCGCTGCGCTTTGGTCTCCCTCATTTGACGATCGTGACAGAAAAACCCACCAAAAAAGGACCAAGCAGCGTGTCCAGGAGCAAGGAGACTGGACATGGGAGGAAGCGCCGGGTAAGGAGATCGAGAGGCTGGCGATGGCCCAGGTGGGCAAATCGTGGTCCTGGGAGGACATGCTCGGGGGCAAGGGACCTTGGGGGAGGATCAAGGCCCTGGCGAGAGAGGAGCAACGGCGTCAGCAGGGCCATCGTCGGAGGGACGAGACATGGCTTGGGCGGCTGGGCAGCAGGAGGCTGCCACAGGGAGACGTGGAGAGAAGGCTACCGGAGTACGGGAGCCATTGGCGAGTAGAGGGAGGGAAGTAGTGGAGGCACGGCGTGAGAGACTGAGGTGTGTTACCAGTCCGGTCCGGCCCGTTCCTGATCCCCGGTTAAGGCCAGTGGTGTGTGTTCCCAGTATGGACCGGCCTGTTCCTGCTCCACGCACCAAGTCCACGGTGTGCGTCGACAGCCCTGTCCGGCCTGTTCCTGCTCCACGTACCAGACCTACGGTGTGCGTCGCCAGTCCAGCCCGGCCTGTTCCTGCTCCACGCACTAAACCTACGGTGTGCGTCGCCAGCCCAGCCCGGCCTGTTCCTGCTCCACGCACTAAACCTACGGTGTGCGTCACCAGCCCAGCCCGGCCTGTTCCTGCTCCACGCACTAAACCTACGGTGTGCGTCGCCAGCCCAGCCCGGCCTGTTCCTGCTCCACGCACAAAGCCTACGGTGTGCGTCGACAGCCCTGTCCGGCCTGTTCCTGCTCCACGCACAAAGCCTACGGTGTGCGTCGACAGCCCTGTCCGGCCTGTTCCTGCTCCACGTACCAGACCTACGGTGTGCGTCGCCAGTCCAGCCCGGCCTGTTCCTGCTCCACGCACTAAACCTACGGTGTGCGTCGCCAGCCCAGCCCGGCCTGTTCCTGCTCCACGCACTAAACCTACGGTGTGCGTCGCCAGCCCAGCCCGGCCTGTTCCTGCTCCACGCACTAAACCTACGGTGTGCGTCGCCAGCCCAGCCCGGCCTGTTCCTGCCACCCGCACCAAGTCTACGGTGCGCGTCGCCAGCCCGGTCCGGCCTGTTCCTGCCACCCGCACCAAGTCTACGGTGCGCGTCGCCAGCCCGGCCCGGCCTGTTCCTGCCACTCGCACCAAACCTACGGTGCGCGTCGCCAGCCCGGTCCGGCCTGTTCCTGCCACTCGCACCAAGCCAAGGGTGCGAGTCGTCAGCCTGGTCCAGCCCGTTCCTGCTACTCGCACCAAGCCAGGGGTACGAGTCGTCGGCCTAGTCCAGCCCGTTCCTGCTACTCGCACCAAGCCAAGGGTGCGAGTCGTCAGCCTGGTTCAGCTCGTCCCTGCTACTCGCACCAAGCCAAGGGTGCGAGCCGTCAGCCTGATCCAGCCCATTCCTGCTACTCGCACCAAGCCAGGGATGCGAGTCTTCAGCCTGGTGAGGCCTGTTCCGGCTCCACGCACCAGGCAAAGGGTGCGTATCGTCTGCCAGTTCCGGTCCATTCCTACCTCACGCGCCAAGCCAGGGGTGCGCGTCGGAGGTCCTGATCCAGCAAGCTGGGTCAGATCGGACCGGGGGCACTACGGGGGGAGTGAAGTGGGGTGGTGGTCAAGCCCGGAGCCGGAGCCGCCTCCGAGGAGCAACACCCACCCAGCCCTCCCCTATGTTGGGGTGTAGGCGCGGTCGGAGTCCGCGCCTTTAGGGGGGGGTACTGTCACGCTCTGGCTCCGGGACTGTGTAGTTTGAGCCAGGGTGTATTCATTTGGTTGTGTTGGGTATAGGGTGTGTTCATTTGGTTGTGTTTGGTTTTGGTTGTAGTGTCTTGTCTCGTCATGTGACTCCCAATCGGAGGTAACGAGTGTCAGCTGTCGGCTCGTTATCTCTGATTGGGAGCCATATTTAAACTGTCAGTGTTCACCTTAGTGTTGTGGGTTTTTGTTCCTTGTCAGTCTTTGTTACTGTGGACTTTACGATTCGTCTATTTGTTTTGGTACTTTAATTAATAAAGTCTATCATGTTCGCTCAACGCGCTGCGCTTTGGTCTCCCTCATTTGACGATCGTGACAGTAATAGTATTGGGGATTTTTCAGTATACTATAAGTTGAACTATATGTTAACATAGTTAGATCTTTTCAGAATCAGTAGACTATAAGTTAAACTATGTGTTAAGCATAGTTATATATTTTCGGACGGTTTCTCTGTTTTGTTGTTTTACGCATAGTTGCGTAATTGCTCGCCTCTGTCGTTTTGAGGCCGTTCTTTGTATCTTTGCCTTGTGGTTCACAAGTAAACTTTGTTGGACTAAGCTTCGGTGTCCTGCGCCTGACTCCCACACCACATACACCTCAGCCTTGACAGAACAACACACCCCAGTATGGAGTCAGCAGGAGCAGTTGGGGTACCCAAGTCGCTGGAGGATCGGATCAGCGACCAAGACACCATGATCCGGCAACTTGGGGCCGCCATGAACGAGGTGTCCAACACTCTACGCCGGTTGGTTACGGGAGAGGTGCCCACGCCTTCTCACACCATCCCGTCACCAACGGCCAGTCCTCCTCTCTCAGCACCGGGACCCAGTGGCATTCGGCTCTCGCTCCCGAGGGCATATGATGGTTCTGCAGCCGGGTGTCAGGGGTTCCTCCTGCAGGTGGAACTCTACCTGGCCACCATACACCCAGCGCCCTCGGGATACGAGAGCGTCTCCGCCCTCATCTCCTGTCTATCCGGCAAGGCGTTGGAGTGGGCCAACGCCGAATGGAGGGGAATAGACGCCGCTACCATCACCTACGCGGAGTTCTCCCGCCGCTTCAGGACTGTCTTCGATCATCCACCATGGGCATCCCACGCGCCCGGGTCCGCGTCCTCCTGGCCGTCCCCGAGGCCGGGGTCGGCGCACGGCTGGAGCCGCGCGTCAAGGGGGGGTACTGTCACGGATTCTGCCGAGGCTGCTCCTTCTCCTAGTTCGGGCAGGCTTCGGCGTTCGTCGTCCCCGGAGTACTAGCTGCCACCGTTGAATGTTTCTATGTGTGATTGCTTTTGTCTGTCTGTCACACCTGAGTCCGTTTGTGTCTGATTACGTGTTCTATAAGTTGCCTGTGTTGTATTGGTTAGGTTGTGTGTTGTTTTTCGCCTGTCCGTAGTGCTGCGTGTTTTTTCTCTGTTTTGTTGTTTTACGCATAGTTGCGTAAATGCTCGCCTCTGTCGTTTTGAGGCCGTTCTTTGTATCTTTGCCTTGTGGTTCACAAGTAAACTTTAATGGACTAAGCTTCGGTGTCCTGTGCCTGACTCCCACACCACATACACCTCAGCCTTGACAGAGAGGCCTGGAACAGAGCCAGGAAATGGACCTGGGAATGGGCCTGGAAATGGGCCTGCTATGTGTGAGAGCTGCCTGCTATGTGTGGGAATGGTACTG